TAGGATCTCGGTGATGCAAATGTTTCATGAACTCAAACAGCAATTTCCTACAGTTCCAGATCAAGTAGTTTCTGATTGTATACTTAAGGTAAAAAAATTCTATCAGTGGTACATCGAACATTTTTATATTTATTTAAATCTAACAGTTATTATTTTTCTTTTTTTCAGCATTCAACTAATCGAGAAGCTTGTGTATCAAATCTAAAAAGTGTTCAAAAAAATTACGTTCAGCAAACTTATCCATCTGATATTGTAGATAAAATGGCAAATAGACCCAAGACTCTTGAAATGTCACCAAACAATCTTTCCTTGCCTAAATTACAATTTTCAAATAGACCACAACAGTTTGATGACTCGAAGGATTTAATAAATTCAAATAGAAGTGATATAGATGACACACAGATTTTAGACATAGATTTTAATATAAATAAATGTCAATGTTCATCTATTTCGGCACCATCAACTCCTTCACAACGGCATCAAGGAGAGCATAGACACAAATCTTGTCTTTCATTAGATTCTGTGGCATTTGTCGATACACAGTGTCGGCCATTCACTTCTGTAAGCCTCACCTTGAGAACACCTACAAAAGATCCTTTACCCCCTTTAGATTTATCGGCTGGTGGAGGTTCTGAACTCACTTATACAGCTTGTTCATTTGATCCAACTACTGATTCTAAAAATTGTTATCAATCAAGACTTCATATAAGTATTGACCCTGAAGGTGAAACAACTGTGACTACTTCTCGTGTCATGGTATCCCCTACAAATATTAAATCTATTAATCGGATGACTGAAATTCAAATTCCTGGATCCGTTCAAATTGATAATATTTTACCAAAAACTAAAAGTTAGTATTTAATATTATATATTGTACATTTTTACTAGATTTATAATTTTTTGTGTGTTCATTAAATTAATATTTTTCAAAAGTTAATAGATATGTGCTTGAAGTTTTAAGTTTGTGAACCCTTTTTTAGTGGTAATTAATGCTCAATTAGAACGGAAGCAGAAATTAGCTTTAGAATTGTCTGCAGAAAAACAGAGACTAGAAAATATGAAAAAAGATGTGGCATTGATGGAAGAAGATATTTCTAAAAGCCGTTCATATTCCAGAAAGGTGTGTAGAGTAAATTTGAGTTTGTGTTATTATAATTTTTATTTTTATGTATTATGTGTGTATAGATTGAACGTTTAAGAAATGATGTTGAATTGTTACGATTAGAATGTAACAAATTATCTGTTCAAGTAGATACAGCTGCAGAGAACCGAGGTAGGTTGAATTATGTAATTATTGATTTATTGATTGTTATTTAAAATAACTCAATAATTATTTTAATTAAGGCTATCCTAAAAGTTCAATCAAGGCAAATCTATTTTCATCAAAAATCCAGTTTAAATAGTATTTGGTAAAGAAAAAAATTACGAGTGTATCTTTGTAAGAACAAAACAGACCTAATAATCTGAATAGGAATTATAAGTACATTACATACTTGGAGCTATCTGGTTTTTATTTTCTGGCCAGTATTCAGGTATCCAGATAGCTCCAAAAATAAAAATTTGTTTTTTAATTATATTTAAAAGTTTTGAAAAATAGATTTGTCTGGTTTTTGATAATGATTTATTATCTAAAAATATGTTCTTGAATTGCCTTGAAGAGACAATTAATGTTTATTTTATTTTATTATTTAGTTTCATTGGATGAAACAAATAAACAATTTTATAATAAAATTTATACTGGACAAAAGGTGTCTTTTGGGAAAATGCACAAAGAATATCAAGGTTAGAACATTTTAACTACAATCATTTAATAAATTACTTGCTATTACTTATTAGTTGTTTTATCACTAAAATATACTTATTTTGTAGAACATTCAGAAACCCAAAACTGGGTTTGCCCTATGTGCACATTCCAAAATCATCCAATATTGCCAAGATGTGAACAGTGTGATATGGCTCGTTTTGATCTAGGTACAACAACCTCAGTTGTGAACAACAATATTCCCATGTGCACCAAATTAACCGCAAATCTAACAAGACAATGCTTAACATGAGTGAAACTTTTTGCAGTGTGTGATGGTGAGAATTTTAACATAACTAACTTTTATAATTGTAGATATTCATAAATTATATCGTATACAAAAATGAACAAGAAAACTAGCAATCTTATAAGTTATAAATATAAGTTATAACTGTGTTAAGTATTTTGAATCAAAATTGAAATATCCCAACACTATTAAAATTTGATTATTTTTTCTGTAAGCAATTTATTTAATACCCTGTTCACAACATTTTATTAAATAACAAATCTTATGAATTTTTGTATTTTTTCTTAATTTTAATTAGTTATTTGAGTTGTACTTTTCAACATATTTTTTTGTAAAAGCTTATTAAGTTTGAATTTTAACCCATCATTTGTTTTGCCATGTTCTGTGATGTTTTGATATTGTGTGAGGGGGATGCTAATATAATTGGTACTAAGGAAATTTGACCATTCATAATATCCACAAAATAAATGTTATCCGCATAGTTGTTGTTGTTATTTTAATATAATATTATTTCAATAAGAGGTATATATAGTTTCAAAACAATACATTTTTATTTGAACAAGCTCTTAGTAAAAGTTTAATGTTAAATATGTTAAATTATGGGTAGAGTGCAGATTTTTAAGGAATTGCATATTTTTTCCTTTTCATACCAGTAATCTTTACAAATTGTAATAGTTTGAAGCTAATAGCAATTTTAGTTTTTCATACTTCTGCATACTTTGGCAAAATTAAAAATGTATTGCAAATTAAAGAGAAAATTTAAAAAAATGTATAAAATAATTACATGCAGAAAATTTAATACATTTATTGGCACTTAGTGATTATTTATTTTAATAATATAAAATTAAAAAATATAGAATTTTAAATAATTTTTTGTTTATTTAGTAGATACTTATAATTATAATTATAAGTTTTTTAATTTGTTTTAAATTATTTTTGAGTTATACATTTATAAATTATTAAATTGTGATTTTTTTGACTATATTACACTATTTTAAGTTACTTTCTTCATATTTTCAAATTTCAATTTGACTGCATACTACACAACTTATTTTGATACTTTTTAGTGCCTACAAATCTGTGCTCTAGTTATAGGTTACTATTTTGGGGAACTGCTAAAATTAAATACAATTACAATGAGTTCACTTTTAAAATTTACTTTTTTCAAATTAAGGCTATACCTTAGTAATTATATTTGTACTGATTATTGTTGGTCTAATTTGGATACCTTATACTACAAACATTTTAAGTAAAAAAAATTAATTAAGTACTTAGTACATACATGGCTAGACATGGATACTTTTCTGCCTGGTCTCCTTAAGCCAGAGTAGCCCTGAGTACTCTTGATACTAGATAATAGAGTTCAAGGGAAATATTGTAATCTCTTAAGTGAAAACTGAACTTATTAAGTTCTATCTACTGTTTATTCTGTACAACTTGTGTGGTTAAAAATTTATTTATTTGTTATGGCTATATTTAACACTACATTGATAGTGTTGAATTCAATGATTTTGTTGTGTAATAATATTGCATTTAGGTGTATGTGGTATACAAATTAATTTAGTTTTATTGTGTATTTATGTTTAATAATTATAAGTTAAGGTTTTGTTCTGTCTTAAACCTTACTCATACCATCAGTCTTAGGCTTTAGCGAGTAGACCAACCTTGCAATAATATTATATGCCATCTCAAATATATCAAATATTTTATTGTTGGTAAATAAATAAATATTGTTATTATTATGTTAGTGATAAGTGAACACCGATACCGATGATGGGTTTAAAGTTAATATATTTTTTTTAAAGTATAACAATGTTACTAATTTTTTTATGGTCAGTGTTGTGTACATATTTTTATATAATATACTAAATTTTTATGTTTGTTCATCTGTTATTCAATGAAATATGAATTTATTTTGTAGGAAAACCACAGCCACATCCTGGAAATATTCACGTAAGAGTTACTCATCGATTAAATCATCAAAGTGAGTTGGTACATTATCATACTCAAATGGACCTAATTTCCATACAACATTCTAGATTTCTCAATTTATTTTGTCTCATTTATATTCTATTACTGAAAAAAATGTTTTAAGTTGTCATATTATTTTAATTTCGAATACTAACATGAAAAATATTTGGTTTATGTACAGGAAAAACTACAAGTTTATATTGAAGCATTGATTTTGGATGTTTGTTGAACTGAATCAACTGAATCAACTCAATCAACGATGGTCTTTGGTTGATTGGACGAAATTAAATTTCATCTAATGTGATACGATAAAGTATAGAGCTAATATTTTTTATTTTGCATTATATTCTACATTACATATACCTAATACGGAATATATGGGTATTTATAGATGATTTGATAATTGCTCATTATTATACTGTTAATTAAATTGTCAATCCTCTATTTACCCTATATAAGGTTAAAAAAAAATTGGTTAACTGATAAAATACTTTTTATACGAGTTGAAATTTAAATAATGTTATGTAATCGAGTAATCAAGTTACACAGTTTTTATAAGTATAAGATTTACCAAATTATGTTTATTAATATTAATAAAATATTAATAGTTTGTATAAAATTGTAAAGTTCAATGTATCAAAAAGCAATATTTTTTATTTGCTAAATATAAAGACTTGTTTAATTAAAATATCTTATAAGTTTAAGTATTTCATTACAGATATTATTATCATACACTTTAAAAATTAAACATTTATATTTTTTTCACATAGTCTAATGGGCATTTAGAAGACACTTATATACAACTGTTTAACTTTGACCAATACATTATTATATATATTTTTTTTTTGTACACAAAAAGACTTGGAACATGGGTTGATGCAATAAATTGTTGAATTAGTTATTACATTTTTATTTAAATATATATATATAATAAAAAACATGTTTTATATATATATAATTCAAATAATTATATAGTTGTTGTCTTAAATTTAAATAGCAGTTCCTCTTTCTAAATTCTGTTTTATTTGGGTAGTGTGCTCTCCATAGTACCGTTCTAATTTTGCATTGAATTTCATGTTTCTTTCATTGATATAGTCAATGTCTGCTTCGTCATTATGCGTTCTTCTCCTACTGAACTTGTTACGTTTTGCAATCCTAAAAAGTAAAACATAAAATTAATATTTTGGCTTAAAATTATTATTATTTTTGTTCTGTTTACAACAATATTAGTTATACACATACTGTTTTTCCAAATCATCGACCATATTGTCAATTCCTTCTTTTGAATCTTTTACTTTATCATGCAAATAAGTGTTAGCTTCTGCATAGAATGCTTTTCCCAGTTTCTCTCTTTGTCTTTGATAGGCACCCATGTCTACTTTCATGTTGGATATCATTCTGTTGTATTGACGAGCAGTAGCTTCTTCGTAATCTGAGAACCCAGGATCAGGATTTTGGCGTTTTTTCTTTCTATCAATAGCATCTGCTTCCATTGCGGTCATATTTAAAAGTTTTAAACGGTTGTAATCTTGTCCCTTAAATCATTAAAAACATAAAAACATATCAACAAAGCACATAACATAAAAAAAATTTGGTCGAAATTCAATGTAAAAAAGTTATTTAAAGAGATATTAAGGTACTTGGAATGGCCGGATGACATCATTGGGCCGAAATATATATAACTGCCTATCTCATACATTTAAAAGTGGCTCACTCTACACAACAATTTAACCGTCTCTAAATTTTATTTTAGAGCGATGAATTTATTGATTTTAAAATGATGTGCTTTCTTATATATTTTTTTTTCGGGTCGGTCATAACGGTTCCGGTCAGTAAAAGTGCTTCCATTTTCTTCAACAGCAACTTTTCTGGTAGGAAAGTGAATCTAAATGGCGTATTTGGGAGTACAAAATTTAAAATGACTAAAATAATTTTCAAAAGAGACAGGAAAACAAATAAAAAATTAAAGAAAAACGTGTATTTTTAATCAAAACTAGTTTTTGATTTTTAGTGTAACTCCAAAAAAAAAAAACGACCATGGGTACATGAATTTTCACTGAATATTTGTTAGTATTTTCTATAAGTACACTCTTGAATATTCAAAATATTTTAACTTCAGTTGAACTATTTATAGGCATATGAAAATTTTGATTAATATTCGTTTTTTCAACTAATGTCGATAAAAAAATTTTCACTCGGTCAAAGACCTTGTAAATTTAATCAATACAAATTTACAATAATTTTTATTATGAGAGTTTGAACTTAAAATGTTGACAACATTCGTAAAAATCACAAAAATTAGTAATTTTTTGTTGAGTAAGAAATTCATAAAAAATTTTCTATTTATATCTAAGATTTAAAAACTTAATACAAGACTCCTTATAAGTTAATTTGTCTTTATCAAAAAGAAAATTTCTACCGGAAAGTCAAATCAAATTTATATGAGCGTTAGAAGATGACATTTTTATAACATTGGATATTTAGTAGATATCTCATGTAGCGATTTACTTATTTTATTGTAATTCAAAAACGAATTACTATAATTGAAATTTACACCATGTGCTTATTTTATCAATTTATATACTCGATAAAATGTTCAAAATATTTTAACTCGTTTTAGGCTGTTGATAGACATTTCTATTTTCCTTTTTTTCCCTATATATTTCAATAGTTTTATTGGTTGGGTTAAAAATATAATACAAGACTCTTAATAACTCTTTACAATGGCAGTTGAAAAATATTAAAAATACATAAGCACAATTTTTTTTAAAAGCGTTCAAAGTTCAAAATTTGACAATATTTGTTAAGTTGAAAATTGAAAATAATTGTGCAGTTAAAAATGTATAAAATGTTCAATTGTAATAGCTTAGGATTGAAAATTTAAAACAAGGTTCCACTCAAGCAGTTTTTTTCATAACTAAGAAATCTAAAAAATATATGAATACAGTTATTTTTTACAGACATTTAAAGAGTTCAAATTTGGACAATATATAACGTTTGTCATTTTGTTGTTATTCGGTTCCAAAACAGCCTAATTTTACATAAGTATATTTAATATTTTTCCAGCATCACTTATAATTTAAGAATAATATTAATTTAACTCACTGGCTACGTATTAGTAATAACAATGTAAAATATCCTAGATTGACATACTGTCTCCGCTCAGAATTGTTTTTTTTTGAATGCAATGATATCATGTAAAATTTAATACCATCCATTACAGCGACCTCCTATGCACCTAATGTCACTACATCCACTTTCCCATTTTTTAAATTTGATTTACATAGAAATGTGTGACTTTTTGTGTTATAGATGATTGAGGTATCAGAATTGCTAATAACGTTCTGCTTTTTTATTATATTGAAAATACTAAAAGAGATAAAGGACAGTTGGGCCATGCCATGTGTTGATAAGTGACTACCACTGTTACAAAAGTAACAAAAATGTGATTTGTATGATTTGAAATATTTTGTAAAAACTAAGTACTTAAGACGAATTCTGGTTCCACCAACTTCTTCTGTGCATAAAAATACATCACATTCGTAAAACAAAAATCAAAAAATGTACTTTAAATGTATATTAGTTATTGTGTGAAGCAAGTAACTTTTACACATTTAAGATCCCGGCCAAAGGAAGTCAAGCGTATTTTTTAATTCCTCAAAACTTATTAAATTATAGGAATAAAAATATTGACCCTATACAATCTTTTGTAGAATTGAACATTGTTTTAAATTAAAAATCCTTTTTTTGTGCTGTGTAGTCTTTGAAAAAACAACTTTAACTTTTCAATAACTAATTTCATACTTTTTCTTTAGCTTCTTGTCTCAGTTTATCGTCATTTAAAAGCCATTCTGCTTTCCTCTGTCTTGCTTCCCAGTTTGACGGCAACTTCATTTGTTTGTCTTCTTCAACAACTTCTTGATGGTTGTTCACTCTGGCTTCATTCTGGATAAGATATAATAAGAATTAATATCTTCTACATTTAATTGTCTTATAATATTAAGAGGACATTATACCCGCATGTGTAGATATTTTTTACCCAAATAAATAATAGAAATTATAAAGATTATAAAAATTGTGTTAATTAGTTTAATCTTTTTTTAGTAAATTAAACATTTACGTCTTATTAATGTCAATTAATTCCTCAAAATTAAATTTAAATGATTTAATTATGTCTGCAAGCCTACGAATATAAAAAAAATACTTGACATTTCAAAATATTTCAAAAAATTTTAGTATGATTGATAAATAATTCCAATAATTTAAATCAAAACTTTAACTCGTCAATTTTGATTTTAGAGCTATGGTGAAAAGGACAAAATTAACTTAAAAAAATTCGTTCTATCAGAATTTGGTATTCAAAACACCTGTTGCCATTAAAAAAAATGAAAGATCTAAAAATGTAAAAATCATCAAGAAAATAATATTTATGTATTCCCTATCTCCTCCCAACAAACCGCATATCAATCTGATGTCACTGAACAGAATTATTTAGTGTTCCCTTTAAAAAGAAACACACTATATAAAAAGTTATTTAATTATGGAAAATGTAAAAATATTAGATTTTTAAAAGTACTGGACTTTTTTCTTATTAGTGATACTATATCAAACAAATAAAAACACAACAACACAGAAAATATAATCTTTTATATTGTATAAACTTTTCCCACGCAAAACAGTTTTTGCTATGTTGTACATTAATAAGACAAAGACAACACATGCAGGTGTAGCATCCTCTTAAATTAATAAGCCAAAATACTAGCCATAAGATAATCTGTATGAGTAAAATGAATATAATAAAATACTAAATAGTAAATACATTGTATTGTGCAGCTGTATGGGTATTAAGATTTTGCTTTTAGAACTATTTAGTCATCTAAGCACAAATAACACTGATGGCTGGTTATATTTATATTGTTTTATAACCTTTAATTATAATATATTTAAAAAAAAAAAAAAACAAAGCTTGGTAACAAGCAGCGGACGTGTTGAATAGGTTATAATAAGTGCAACATAGTCAGTTCCATTATTCCAAGATTAGTAAGATCATCTAACAATGATACTATACAAAACCAAATTCGTTCAAAAGTATTTTCGTTATGAACCTTAGTCGTCAATTTTATTTTATAGATACAAGCATAAATTAGATTTTTACACTATACATGAAATATTATATACTATTTTAAGTTCATGAAGTTGAAGGCCAAATATTAACTTCAATATAATTTCCAGCAGTGACACAGAATTTCTTATCTATTCCACATACTCTATGGAAAATTCAATTCAAGGAACAGCAGATTTAGTAACGACCATAAGACAATAAGGTAAATAAATGATAATAAATGATGAAAACAAATAATTGGTATAGGTATTATGTAATAAGTAAACCTTTTACCAAGTAGGTATTTGACACAACTGATTTGAAGAACGCATTGTTTTGAAAGAGGGATTATTCACTAGAAAATTTGAATAAGAAGTTGAAATATGGAAGGTCTTAGTAGATCAGATATGAACGATTAGAACTCGAATATGATTTATCATATTGATCGAAAATTTAATACAATTATATAAGTAATTAAAAAGTATAATATTTACTCTTTTGATGTGGAGGTCTCTAAGTTTCTTCAAACGATCCGCTTGTTTCGTTTCGACAGCTTGGCTCATGGCTAAATAGTAAAATATTATAATCAGTTTAGTGTCTGCCACATAAAACAATGTATCTATTATCATATAACAATACTATGCTTGATGTAAGTCGTATACCTAGATGTCACGTCGTTGTCCCCGTTTACAGTATATTGGAATTGAGAAGCTGAGAAGGTGGATATTATTATAAATAATGTCGTAGAGTAATCAGTGATCAGTAATTACTCAAATTTATTCCGTGGACTGTGATACAAACATTACTATAGAATACCTACTTGGTTATCTAGACGATAAACATCAGCTATTAACAATACGTCGATTCGGATAACAGAATTGTATTACGTTGATAATAATTATTTTACGTCGTATTATTTTGTGTGACACTATCTTTTCATTTCGTATACATTGTTATCAAAAATATATTATCAGTGTCGCCATTTAGATAGGTTTATCGGATAAAAATGTGTTAATCAAACGATAACCCGAACAACAAAACATGTTAATTACCTAATGAGAGTGTTAAGTGTTAACTGTTAAGACGTCTTCTTATTTTCATTTTTTCGTTCACAAAATCGATATAATTATTTTAATTCAAATGATTTTCACAGAGTCAAACGTATTACGCATCGGATGTCGCGACGTTTTAAGTCGATGGCGAACGCTGTTGTAGTCGGCGTCGTCGTCATCTAAAACATGATATTACATCAAATCTGATCGCAAATATATTTGTGAAGTCAACGTTATGACTGTAAGTACCATCCTATTCACTTGAAAAACATATGTTCCACTTTTACACAATGCTCGTTATTAGTCAATAGTCAATTAATTAGTTGTACTACAATTTGGTAACTATCGTAACTAGGATTTACAAGACCCATGGCCAAAATAAAAACTTTTATAGTACTCTCTAAGTTTTTATGAGATTTTAAGAACCATGTCCTTTAACATTTTTTTTTTATAAAATCAAAATATTAATATAATTTATTTTTAAAAAAATACTAAAATAATTATATACAAATTAAAATTTTACATTCATACATTAGGATAATATATATATTATACACTATACGGTATTATAACATCATTATACTCGCCTACATAAGTTATATTGTAAAATATTTTTAAAATTGTTATTTTATTATAGCTTGTGTTTCCACAAATACATCAATAATTACAACAAAATTCATCTTCTGAGCTGTTTTTTGTTCAATTGAAAGTAATGCTTAGCTAATCATATAATCATAGTCTAAGAGCTAGCTGCATGTAGACTGCACTGATCGATTATAGTCGTGGTATTTCGTTAAGCTATTCTTATCACACCGATCAGCCAGAAGTTGCTCTGGTGGTGGAGAGTGTGGGCGGCCTGTTAAAAGCTTAAAGACTGTGAATAAAAAAAATAATCAAATATACTCATGAAAATTGGTACAGTCGTAGATTTTAAATGTGTACATATAGAAAAAATATTGTCAGAAAGGTAGGTGGTGGCTTGAGCTCTCTCAAAAGAGATAAACTTGTAAAATAATATGTTGAGTCATTGCATTGATATGAATGCAATGATTAAACGTAAATTAATATAATCACAGTTTACAGATATAAGTTGTAATAACCTGTTTATTGTAGAAATGGTACAAGTAAAACTGATTGTCGTGCGAGGCATGCACGTCGTATACGGTAAGACAATCCCCCACCATGTATATATGTAAACATTAATTAATGCGTAACACAATAATTAAAAAATAAACCACAATACCTATATAATTCTGAAATTTGGTTTACAGGTAGTATCTTACATAAATAGACTATCTGTAAAGTTTCAGAAGTTATAAGTAAGGCTAAAAGCCATAACAGAATTATATGTATCACCACGCATGCAAAATTTGATTTCGCTGCCTCGCTCAACCTTTTTATTCTTTTATTGTTAGGAAATGATTAAATATAACTCTGGTATTTTATGAAGCTACTCTTTACGTAAGTAACTATGATTTAATAAAATGACATGACTGTAATCAGAGGTTAGAATTATGCCAGAACTATAGCATTACAAGAATTTAAGTGCAATCGAGTGCCGCTTGCATGCAATTAATTGAACTTTTTTATATAACTTGTAATATTCTATTGAATTTAAATGATTAAATTACCAACAACATATTAACTGAAAAATACTATTAAATTTTACAGGTTAAATTTTTAGGTTTTGGTAATGTTTGTTTTATTTACAATTAGCTGACCTGACAATGCCTTGCTATTGCTAAATTTCAGTATATTTATAAATGTTTAAGAATATGTGAAAAGTTTGTTATAAATTATATCAGATATTTAATTTGATTAATTTTTTTATTATAATTTTATATAAGTGTGGAATATATTTGTTTCGTTATGATGTATGATTTTTATTTTTTTGTTAATTATATCTATTTGTCTTAAGCATTGAATATTTCTGGATACACCACTTTAAGTGTCTCGCTTCTGGGACCAGCACAAATAGATTTTGTTTGCATGTGACACGTGATAGAGCCATGTACAATTGGCCATGGGAAAAACACTGGACGTTTAAGTCTAAACCTGCAACGTTTATTTAATCATTTCCTAACAATAAAAGAATAAAAAGGTCGAGCATGGCAGCGAAATCAAAATTTGCATGCACGGTGATGCATATAATTCTGTTTTGACTTTTAGCCTCACTTTTAACTTCTGTAACCTTAGAGATGTTGTATTTATGTAATGTAATACCTTTATTTATAAAGGTTTATTTTTTAATTATTGTTCAACTAGTTTATCCCTTTTAAGAGATCTTAAGTTAAGTCACCACCTACCCTTCTGAAATATTTTTTCTACATGTAAACATTTAAAATCTAAGACTGTACCAATTTTCATGACTATGTTTGATTATTTTTTTATTCATTCACAAAACGTTACACTTTTAATCAGCCATCTATGCTCTTTTCTACCAAAGTGACTTCTGGCTGATGGGCTCTATCTTTGTTGATGTGAAAGAATTGCTTAACAAAAAACTAAGACTATAATCGATCAGTGCAGTCCGCAGTAGTTAGCTCTCTGTCTATCACACTTGTTTATCTCAATATGTCCACCCTATTGTTATACCACTGATGTTGGTGGTTAATCATATGACATTTCGCTCTTTTCCAAGTACTTATATCAACATATAATATTTATTTACAATGTTTTCCATCTTAGTCTCTTCATGAAATTAAATCCTCTTCACTGCTGTTATTGAATTAACAATGAGCGGAGTGCAGTTCAGAGAAATCCACAAAAACTCGTGGTTGAGAAAACTACCGGCTGGCGTTGACAAAAAGTCGGCTCTGAAACTGACTGGTGGACAAAAACTATGGACTGTGTTTTGTATACACGACGACACAGAACCAGTGTTGGAATTTTATGTAGACCAAAAAAAAGCAGCTGCACATCGTCCAGATAATACCATACCACTAACAGATACCGTCCATGTTTCTGCTACTATATGTCCCTTGCCAGTGATGGCAGGTGATCATCAACAACAGTACCAGTATGAATTTGTAATAACCCTCTCCTCAGATGTAGTACGTTTAGCTGCTCCTTCATGGTTAGTATGTGGTGGTTGCTATTCACTATTTCCATAATAATACATTTTACCTTTATAGGAATCAGATGATGGATTGGGTACAAGGGTTGGACGTGAAATTGCGTGAAATGCATGTATTATCACCAAAAGAAAATGTCTATACCAAACCACCTGAGTCTAGACCCCCTCTTTTACCGACTAGAGACCCTAACTCTCCGCTGCCTCCTCCACCATTACGTGACTTGTCAACAAATGTTTTACCGGGTGTTGAACCCGTTGTCTCAGCAGCTCAATTAATAGGTGTGTCTACCCCTAAAATGTTTGACAAGCCCTGTTATTTAAATTAATATTGTTCTTTGATTGTCAGGTACAGATGACAGTCCTTCAGAAATTGAACAAACTTTTTTAACTCCACCTATTAGCCCTAATCCAATGTGAGTAAATATTGTAACAGCAAATAATAACCTATTTTTGTTTTTTTTTCAATTGGTTTATTTATAAATTATACATTTATTTGCTGTAGGAGTCCTAGTGAACCAGTGAATAATGTTACCATTGTAGAAGTAATAAATCATAATCAAGTATTCAATTTTAATCAAATGGAACAAGTTATAAACCAAACAAATGAGCAACCATCTCAAACATCATCTGAACCATTAATAAATTCTCCTAGGCCTAGTAGATCATCAAGTTCTACATCTGAAAATGTTGCTTCTTCTCCAAGGCAGTCTAGTAGACACCACCAAGTTCGAAGTGCATCAATTTTAGAAGAATCTGTTAGTGGTGCTAGGTCTAGTAGTCATTCAGAATTTAGTGATAGAACAACACATGTTGAAGATATGCCACACAGATCTACTAGTGAAGTACCAAATGAAGGTCAACGAATTAAAGTTAGAATTGCTGAACCAGAAGATGGTTGGCATAGAAGAAGACCAAAAAGACAAGATGTTATACCCCCAACAACCGACCAAGAAGTAACTAGTAATTATGAGCATTTAATATTACCTACTGCTATGCAGTCTAGACCACCTCCGGCCTTGTCCAATTCAGTACCTGCAGATATCGCAATATTACCAACAAGATCTCAAGTATAGTTCAACCGCTTTTGACCTTTAACCCAAGTGTTATTAAAAATTGTGTTTTTTTTTAGCTTCCAATTGGTCGAGGCCGTGGGGCTCGACGAAAAGTTAACGCTGATAGTTCACATCCTGCATTAGGAGCTGATAGAATCCGTGTAGCAGTAAATAGTAGCACACACAATATGTTACAGCCAGTTCCAACACCATTTACCCCCGTAAGTTGTTTCTGTATTCAACAGTGTATATTTTTATATGATAACTTAAACTTTTTATCTGATTAATGTAGACAGAAAACAGAGATTTATTCAGTCCTAGTCGGTTAACTGTTCGTGAAAAGCAAGTCCTGCAACTACGAAAAGAAATGTCCCATCTTGCTGGTGTGCGGTTACAATTGAGACGTAAAGATTGTATTAATACTATTGCTTTGGTTGATGTCTTTCAAACTGTGTGGATTGCTGGATGGAAACAGAAAGAACATCCAATGTTGCATAATGCTTTACATTTAGGCGATCAATTGTTGAGTGTTGCTGGAAAACCTGTATCATGTTCAACAGATGCTCATAAATTAATAAGAGCATGGCCAAGTCTTTATGTTAGTATTATTGCTTTTGATAACTACAATAGTATGGACAAATTCAGACCAAGTAAGGTTCCGGATTATTGGAATGGATCTTTTTTTTTAAGGGAATCCAAATGACAAATACATTTTGTTCCTTACTAGTTCTGATAAAAAATTACAAAAATAATAATAATTTTATATTATTGATTTAGGGACCTAATTTGATTGTAAATATATTTTTAAAATAATATGAGATATTTTTAATCTGATAAAAATGTGTATGGTTTATATCATTCTAATTGAAATGGGTCCAAATGCACTTTACATATTGGATAAATTAGTACATATTGTAATTTGTATTATTATTTTTATTGATTTTGAATGATGATAAACATTATTTGCTTTGTCTAAATCAACAAGATTTGTAATTTTTAATGACAACCAAATTTTCTACTTAATCCAAAATGGCATCTACATACTTTTTTGCCGGCATGCCAATATAGACTAGAATTAGTCCAGTTATTGTGTTAGTATGTACTGAATAACAATATTGTTGACATTGGTAATGTCTGACTATACGAATAAAAAATAAAAAAAGTGGTACTCAATAATAGTTTTTTGTAATATCCATTGTCGCATTTAGTCTCATGTACATATAGTATCCAATTTTTAAAATAACAAAAGTTGTGAAATCAAAAGCATTTTAAAATGTTCTTCAAATTTTGATATTGAAACTCAATTTTTATTTTTGAAATGTTGACAGATTACTATTAATAGAGTAATGTCCAATCTTTTTCTACAGTGGGCCACATTAGTAAAATATTGCTTTCGTCCGGGCCACCAATAATATAAATTTAATATTTCATTACTATATATTGTATATAAATGTTGTATGCCCATATGGATGTACCTTTTAGACTTTACAATGCAATATCTCGTTATTTCGGGCCACTTCTAAAGCTAGCAAGCCAAAGATGTGCATCTCTGTATTAATAGCTTAATGTGTTATTTAATGTAATTGATAATACATTAACAATTATATAAACTTATCTGTTATGTAATTTCAGGTTGAATTAATTATCAGGCGTGTACCTTGTGGACGAGTATTTGTAGTACGTCGAAAAGAGCAAGGCCAGGACCTTGGAATCATCCAAGAAGGAGGTACAGCCGAAATTAAAGATATACTGCCGAATAGTTTAGCTGCTGCCCACGGCTTATCATCTCGCACACCTACTTTAGATGGGTTGTCATTTACTTCTTGGACACTAACAGAGATCAATTCTCGCCCATTAAACTTATTGTTTAAAGAAACTGAAGTTAGAGACCGTCTGAATGCAGTTGGATTAGACATATCATTATTAGTCCAACCAACTGATCTTATATCAGCACTACGCAAACAGCTGAAGTCCTTAAAATCATTCAAAGACTTTTTGTTGGTATAAAGTTCACAACAATTACTGGTAATATAAATAATGTTTATAAGACATACCTACACTTCATAACATTAATTATTAACTATAGTTTATATTTTACTTTGTTATAAACATTTAAAAATACTTTTTGTAATGCATGCCTTTTTTTAACATTTTACTTGCCATAGATTGAAAATGATTGGCTGAATCATTTTTTAATTTTGTATAATAGACTACAGGTAGACAATATTTTGAAAGTTATTTATCATAAAAGATATTGTTTTGAAAACGTTTTCTATTTAAATATTTTAGTCAACTATATTTCTTGTCTATGTGTATGCCTTATAATATTGTCTACACATGGCCAATAAATTAGTAGTAGATGATTTATACATCACTTATCAGTGAGGGCTAGTATTTCTTTGTGAACAAAACAAAAATTAAATAAACATTAGCTATAATATATGTCTCTAAAATTGTACCCATGTTAACTGATACTACTTTTTTAAAATTATTGATTCAGCTTTATTGTATAAATGAACGTCATATAATATGGGTGGCTACCAATAAGAGTCGCTAGCTTCACAATTTAATGAAAAATAACATTATGAGCCTGAAAAAGAATAATGCCTATTTCTGTATAAGTAAAATGTTAAGATGCGAGCCACCTCTGTTGTATAATTAATAATTACTTATTATAAAATGTAAATTAAAAAACAATATAATATGTTAATTATTATAGCATTACTAAACATAAATGTTTTCCAATGTATCTAGTATTTTCATTTTTAAATCTTATACAAATATTGTCAAGAGTAACAGTCAAAATATTGAAAAGTAAAAATATTGACAGATTGATGTGTCAACTTTGAAAATATAGAAAAGGATGAAATATTGACTAACCAAAGTGTACTAATACCAAAGTAAATATTGACAAATTATAATGTATTGTGACAAAAACAATTTTATACTAAAATAATTTCACTTAAAAATTAAAAATGTACCTATATCATTTAGGTACTAATAAAATTACTACTATGTACAATTTTACGTGAAAAATTCCACTGCATATTGTTATCCATCTAAATAACGATATTTTGAATAATTTTACTATGTTTATCATTTTTAAGTCTCTGATTTCTCTTTCAAATATGATAAAGTCTTACAAAATTTTAGTTTGCTTAGTTCTGGGGCATGATTATGTTCACTATTTTAACTATGTAAGTAGTGTTTTCCACTATCTAAAATTATTGTTACTCTGCCTGTACAGCTAAGACTAATGTGTTGATTGCGTTACCAGTAATATCAATTTTGAAGAGTTTGGATGAGATTAAAAAGGTAACCCCAAACATTAGTCTTATTTTTTCTTGTTTGTGATGGATGGTACCAATATTCACAGTTCACCATTTTTCTAAATACCACAAAATAATTTTATGGATATCTTACATGATTTCAATAATGTATTGTTATTTTTAAAATAATCATAATTTTAAATTCTAACAATAAAATACACTTCCCATCCACAAACATTATAAAATAAATATAATACAAATCAGTCGAAGCAATTTATTTTTATGAGTAAATAAAAAAATAAATTTCAAATTTAATTATTTTTTTCTATATGTGTATACACGATAAGTACCAGTTAAAGTACTCCTTTAGAAACATACGGCATGATTCTGGGAGAAAATATTATTCTTCAGTTAAGTCATTTTTACTTTGAAAATTTGGGAAGTTCGATTAACGATTTTACTGGTATTTAATGCTTGTAAAGATTAAAGTTTAAATATAACACTTGAATTTACCTTTAAAATTCTCAATTAATTCCAAGTTTAATAATTTTAACCCAGTAACTACCTATATTTAATGTTATTTCGACAGTCAATTATTTGTATAAATCTACAGTGTTTTGTATTTTTTGATATTTAAATTATCTGCATGTTAATATGCCTAACCTACTGTCGTTTTGTACTACACCTGTATTATATACACTTATACATATTCATTAATATTATGTGCATGTATAACACATATTATATTGTATATATTGTCGGCTAAACATAAACTATAATAATTAATTAATACATTATTTTTATGTTTTCAGGAGAAGATCACAAATGCAGGGTCAATGCAGAAGAAATATTTATTATATATTATATTGAATAAGAAATATCAAAATATATTTTACTATATAGACTAAAAGTAAATTTATTTTTATGACCTATGATTTACCAGCCTAAATGAAAAATGGGCTTAAGGATTTTCACATCAGTATTTTTTTTATAACATTTAAATTTAAAAGTTATTGTTTTCTGTGATAATTTTGACAAAAAATATTGATCAAAGTGTTTGAATATATTAATTATAGTTTTATAATTTTAAATGTCAGTTGGCTTATGCTAATATTAATAGCTCTAATTGAAAACTGAATCATTATTTAATTTAAATATTTCGTTTGTATTTTAAGTCAATATTGTAGAATATACTGTGTCATGAATGTGCAATATTATTATAGTTTGTTGTGTTTTTTTTTAATAATGTTTAGAAATTAAATTGTAATTATTTTTATTGCAATAAATGATTTGTCATACCAGAGTGGCGTATACAGGATTTTTTCAATTAAAAGTGTTTTTAGTTTTCATAAAATAAATTAAAAATTAAAAAACTCAATTAAATCAAATAATAGATTTTTATATTACTGTATTTAGCAAAAAAATAATAAAGTTCTTATTTTTTTAGTTTTTTCCCCCATCTCAGTAATTAAAGTGTCTTCTATATGATACAAAATAATTTATGTTTTTGTGACTTAAAAAGGCAATTTATCACGTATACGCCACTATATCATACAGTGTTCAACAAAGCCATAGAATAGTGCCAATACGACCAAAACTCCAAAAATGTGTGTAGTACAAATATTTCTAGCCTACTAGGTATTCAAAAAGATCATTTCTTAAACAATATATATCATGTGATGCAAAAAGTTATTTAAAAAAAATTACTTTTTCAAGTTACCTACTAGATTTTCAGTGTAATCTTGTGATTGACTACAGTTATTACTTATTACTTATTAGAATATGATCTTTTAAACCTTAAAGGTATTTTGTTAATATTAAATAACAAATGCTAATATTCTAACTATACTTTTTTACGGGGGCTGAGATAACATTTAGTAGCCATTTAACCATATTTTTAACTTTTTTTAATACTTATGTTCTTAAATGTAGGATATCATAACTAAATATCAATGACTTATTAAAAATTTATATTTAATCCATTGTGGTAATTTGGTGATGAATATCAACCATTTATACTTCAATATTCAATGGCATGTATAGATAGGTACTATTAAACATAAGTTAATTTTAAAATAAAAAATATAATATAAATTCATACTGAAATCTTTATTTTTATTATAATTCCAAATCAAGTCCAATAGAATAACAAATAATAAGGATAAGTTTAATTATAACTAGTATCTAGTAAGTAATAAGTCTGATGATAGTTGACATATTTTTTGTCAAAAGTATTAAATTATATACTAAGTAAATCTACACATTCAAAAGTAAAAAAAACAACACTAAATGTAAATGTATAGCTATTGTAGGTATATATTATATGCCTACTGTACCCATAGGGAATAGTTTTTTTAGACTTATATTATTGGATAAACAATGTACTAATATTTTATTTACTAAATTGTATTTTTACACACATTTGTTATATTATTACTTACACATATGGCGTCCATAAAAAATAAAATAATCACATAACCAAATGTTTTTTTTATAAATTCTGAAAATTGTTGATTTATAGTTAATACAATATATGTGATCAATATTAAAATTGGTATACATATTTAACTTCTAGATCCTACTTGGTTTACATTTTTTTTTTGTGTTCGCTCAAATTCTACTGTTTTTTTTTTATAAAATAATAACTGTTGCGCTTTGCTCATCAAAACTTCAAAATTCAATGAATTATCAAATCAATAAAAATATAATCATATAATATTTGACACAATATTTTTTTGTAGGTTGAAAATTAAAAAAAGTTGACGAGATACAAATTAGAAATTAGTTCAATTATGTTAAAACAAATATCAGTTTCTGATAATTAAATCAGTAATTTTATGTTACAACAAATTCAAATCTGTAATTTTATGTAACCTGCATTTTTAAATATTTAGCTGATAATGATTTTTGAAGCATACTTCTTTATTTTCGTCTTTTTTTTGTAGATTTTGACGTGGTACACACAGTTTTTATCCAGCTCATGGTCGAGACATGACTCCATTAAATTTTTTTCTTTGGGGATTTTTCAAAAATTCTGACTATAAAAAAATTAGCTTAAAAATAAAAGGAACTAAAGCAGTCTGATCAAATTAGGTATCAGCTAACATTTAAAAAAAATGTTAGACTGGTAATGATTTGATGTGTAACTCAAATGCTAACACTGTAGAAATTTAAATGTTCACCAATTGTTAATGTTGTCATTTTAAATCCTTGATGTAATTTTCAAAATATTTTGACTCGTCCTGAGATATCTATGTATAGGAATTTCAAATATTTCTTATTTTTTTCTATAAATATTGATAAAAATGTTTTTGTTAGCTCAAAAAGCTTGAAAATGTAATACAAGGTTCATCATGACTTGTTGCTCCACTCTTTAACCTTAAATACTTTAGATGTTTTTAATATTATTTGCAAACTATTTCTCTCATCTAACTTGGGCTCGATCATATTCCTGTTATGATTCTCTATAGTTGTAGATTTATCAATTTATCATAAGCTCTGTTCTAACTAAAATCTTTATTTTATTACTCGAATCGAGTTCCCCATCTCACAAGAAGTCATTTTTTATCTCCAACAATTTTAAAAAGAGGCAATCCTTCTTTGATATAAATCTCGTCCAATTTTAAAATTATCAAACATTTTAAAACTTTTCCCTCAATAATATCAATACAAATTTTATATAAAAATAATAAAATTAATTATTTTATCCTCAACTTCTCTACATGCACTAATCTAGCTTAGGTTACAATCATGATATTACAAACTTTTGAATGCAACACTCAAACTTTAATACATAATGTCTGGGGGGCTTCGGTCAAAAATGGTTAATCTCATTTTTCACTTTGTCCGTTTTTGGTACCACAATATTAGTTTTTGAACACCATTGGTCTTCTTAAATCTTACAATAATGATTATTGAGATACGCCCTTTACTATTAAAAAGGGTGTACAATTTTATGTTTGGCCATATAACTTATTTTCACTAAAAAGTGAGATTGCCTTTTTTAACTCCAGATATTGACTTTACATCCAATAGAATTAACCATACAATTTAAAATTCAAATTTACAAATGTCCAGTTTTTTAATTTTCTTAATATGGTCACATTAAGGTTCACTAATAAAAATATCATTCATTAAATATTTTTTCATTTGTATTAACTTATTTATTTACCTATTTATATTAGATTCAATTCCTGAGAACTATTTAAATGTGGTATGAAATTTACTTATTAGCTACTCCCTAATATTAATTAGTCAATTTTTTCACCTCATTATTAGATACATTTTAAATGTCATAGTACTTAATATCACGATTGACCTTCTAAGCAAAAGTGAAACAAAAAAAAATTGACAACAATGACATCTGATAGAATTAACACATTTTTTATTGACAAAATATCACTTGAATTACATAATATATAATAAAAACACATTATTTTAATGTTATTTAGAAATGCCGTATCTACCTAGGTAGGCAACAAAAATACTTATAAGTACTACGTAGGAACGCCGTATCAAACCATAAACATCGTAAATATTTTTGTAGATAGTTAAACGCACACCTACGTCAGAAAACAATTTTGTAAACATTTAAATAAATAAAACACATTAGAAAATAGAATTTAAATTAGGAAACATTTTAACATTTAAATGTAGTTTGTCAAAAAATTGCCAATTTTTCTAAAAATTGTACAATATTATATTCCTATAAAATTGTATTTTACTTGCAAACATTAAAGAAATGTTTGACAAACTTCGCATGTGTTTCAAAAATTATGTTTTTCAATTAACTACCAAATATTTGTCAAAAATTGTACAAGATTTACAAAATAATTGTTTATGACTGTTTATGAATGTATCAGATATATATAATGATTGTATAGATTGTAGATGTTAGAAAGTTAAGAGCCAAATATTTGTATGTCCTTCATTATCCAATCGATACACAATTTATTGTTAGTACGTGACTCTCAATTTTCAATAACTAATATATTTTGTTTATATTTGTTAAAACATTTATTGTCAATAATATTTGAAAATATTCTTAATTCCAACAGTACGTCGCAATGATTACGATATGCATTCTGAAAAAAATGTTCTAATTTTACACAACAATTTTCAAAACGACTTTTAACTCACTGCTTGTAAATTTTCCGTTCGGAAAGCTAATATAATTTCCACGTTTTTCCTGCTTTGTCTTACAATATTATAAATTGGTGAAATAAACGGAATGAACGTGTATCCAGCTGTAAAAATTGAAACTTAATTTGCCTTTTCATTTTCATACAGACTATCTGCAGCAATGAAGACTGTAGGTAGATTAACGAAGTTGCTTTACAGTTTTAATTTAAATTGTTACATATATCCGAAAAAAAATTATATTATGGCGTTGGTACCTATCAAAACTTGTTTGGTATTTAATTTTATAAATACCAATTTGTTAATACTAAAAACTGTCATCTTTAAGCAATAATATAAAAACGATTAGTATTTTTAATTTTACAATGATATGACAACAGACAAATGATAAACAATAAAACATTATTACCTACACATTAAGTACATAATATAATGTGTTATAATTGATAGGCCTATGCCCTATAACATAGTTATTGTCGACTTTCGTTATTGTAACACAGACAATGATATTACTATCGGTATAAATGTTCAAATGGTAAATATTATTTAGGCTGCAACTTACTCAACATAATAATATTATGACGAACACGGAACAAGAATCTGTCACAATTTGGATTAGACCTTTTCCGTAGTGTAGGACGCACTCTATGAAACATGCAGCTGTTTCAAAACTACCTACTCAAATGGTCAAAACGATGCAGTTTCAGAAGAAAGGCGGAGGGTCTGGTGAGGTACGTCTATTGTAATCACGAAGAGGGTATTGCTTAAGGGTCGGCTGGACGTGGTATGAGGGAGAATTGGGGTGCGGTGGCGACAAACAGTTGTTATTGGTATGCATTTTATAGTGGTGTGTACGGGCGATGCACACATGAGAAATATATGTATACGGTGAGTGTGAGAGAGAGGGTGAGAGAGATATATTGTTCAATTGGCCGAATTCTTTCGACTACTTGCGGTGTACAAATGACTCCTATACGCGCAGGGGCGGACTGACCTGTAGCGTTGATGTGTATTTTTTTGTGTATAACTGCTACAAGTGTTTATAGAAATTCGAAGTTTGGTAGACTAGAACACAATA